ACAGGGCACAGCCAGTCCCAGCCGCTGCTTGGCTGCAGACGTGGCAGCAGTGGTTTTATCCCTTGGGAGAAGGAGGATCTCTCCGTGGCTCGAGGCGACCCTGACCAACTCCACCCAGTCACTTCCCGTGGCTGGATGGATCAGGAAAAAACAGCGAAAGAAGTGTAACCAGGCGCAGGATCTGGGCAGTAGGAGGGAGCAGGACAAGAGGGGTACTCGACCTGGGCAACTGTTGCAAATGTTGCCCTGGTCCCCCCTGAGCCCGGACTGCGGGGACGGAGCGGAGGACAGAGAGGAGGTTGCAGGCACTGGAGCCCCTGCAGCAGCCACGGTCGTTTCCTGGCGACAAGAAGGATCCTGGGGGTCCCTCCAAGGACCGTCCCCTTCAGTTGATGGGCTCGTACTCAGAGTAGCGTTTCCTCTGAGCGAAGAGGACCACGCAGCTGCCCACCAGGAGCATCACCACGGGGGTGCCCAGTGCCACGGCCATGATGGAGATGACGAGGGGGGAGAAGGTGTCCTCGGGGGGCTGCCCAAATCCCAGCAGCGCCGACCTGCAGGAGGGGATGAGACAAATCAGCCACAGAGATGGGGACCAGCTGTGTCCCACGGGTGGAATATCTGGGGCTTTCTACTCCGACAGGGTCAGGTCAAGATTCCTTGGCAGGATCCCCCAGGCGGCAGGAGAGGGTCTCCCAGACTGGGGGAGGGGGGAGGGAATGTGCCAATAAACCGCAAAACTCCTTGCTGCGGGATCACAAGAAAACACAGACTTTTGAAAGGAGACAGTTATTAGAGAAACCCTCTCCCCCAGCAGTTCCCCAAACTGCAAGTTATTAGTGGCCGGGAGAGCATAATTTCACGCACGATGGAGCCCACTCACCAGCTGAGGTAGCGCTTCTCCTGGTAACCCTTTCCATCCTCTCCCCCAAAAGAGATATTGATGGCACTGATGGTGTAGGTGCTGCCTACACCCTCCCCAAAGTAGGCGTGGACAATGCCGGACACGGGCAGGGTCCAGTTGGCCGCTTGCAGGCCGCGAGGCCGGCACTGGATGCTGTCCTCGCGCCTGGGGGTCTGGGAGCCGTAGGCTGTCGCCTTCCACTGCAGGAAGCTGAGCGTGGAGCTGTCATTTTGGGACTTGGCTACCAGGGAGAGCATCTGGTGGAGGGAGAGCAACGGGCGGTGAAGCGAGGACAGGAGACGGTCTTCCTGCCAGGGTGAGCAGGAGCGGGGAGCCACAGGTTGCCCAGGCTGCTTCCTCCAGATCCCCCTCACCCTCGTTCCTGCAGCAGGGGATGTCCCCAGGCCCCATGCTCACCCCGCACTCACCTCAAAGATGGTGGGAGTGTACTCATCGTCGATGGAGCGTGTCGAGCGCAGCTTCTGCACCACCCCTGTCTCCTCCACCATGGCCAGCTCCAGCACAAATCGGGAGCTGTTGCCCCGCGGCACCACCCCAGCCAGGACAAACTCCACTTTAGAGCTGTTTGCCGTGTGCAGGAGGCTGGGCAGGGGCCCGTCACGGCCACTGGCCTCGTAGGCTGTCACCTGCAAGGGACACAGGTCAGAGGGACGGCACAATCACCGGTTGGGACACCAGGGAGCAACATTCCCTCTCTAGAAGGTGCTTTGGACATGATATTCACCGTGTTCTCCCTACAACACCCCAGGGCGGTATATACTCGCTCTCTGCCCCTGTGGCCTTACCCGAAACGCCAGGCTGCCGTTGGAGAAGCTGCCGCTGGGGTCAGTGGCCGGGATGCCTGTGAACTCAGCCGTCAGGGCCGTGTGGTTCAGGGTGCGATTGACGCTGTCCCAGGCAAAGTCAGACAGGTCGTACGTGGGGTAGAAGAGCTCTTCCAGCGTTTTGGCCTCGCTGTACTCAAACACCTAGGGAGAAGGAAGGGGAGAGGGGCTGGGAGCCAACAGCAGGTGCTGCGCACACCACCGCGTTGTGCTACGGTCCCCAGGCTGCCGTGCGCCGGGCCGCCGCTGCCGCCAGGGGGG